GTCTGTTGAAATGTTGAACCTCAGTTGCTGTAGGTTGCATTTTTATGAAATAAATGTTGCTGATTCCACTTGGCTGAGTGTCACAAAGTTATTTGACAGGAATCTGATAGTAGGACACGATGCTCACTTCAACTGTATTTACACTTGGCAGAACATGATGGTTAAAGGTGGTCAAACTGGGCAGCAGCTTTCCCTGTTCCTGGTTTCCAGGCAGACATGTCAGCACCGGGTCACAGCTCCTCATGGTCCTCCACCCTCATCGCCCCGTAATCTGTGATGGTGCTAGTCCTCACATAGTCCATCTTGTCCAGCACTTCAGAGAGGGTCAACAGGCCATCCTGACGAGCAGAGCACAGAACACATCATTTCCCAGCAGCCACCACACCAGAGGGTTGGGAACCAATTAAGGACAGATCTATGACATGTTTAGCATCTGTGAAAGTTACATGTACGAGTTCTCATTTCCCCTTCTGTCCAAATCTGATAGATGGACACAGCTATGGTCCTGATCCTATCACAGAATTGTTTTGTCTTTAAGCCATTTAACCTAAAAATACTTTGGGCAGAAAAAGGCCCTAGCTCAAGGGCTGAGCCCTCTGTGTCCTCCAGCAGAGCAGCAGTTAAAGTGGATCACAGAGACTCATCTGTTCTGGAGCTGATGGAGGGAAAAGGCCACAGAAACCCATCAGACAGACAGGAATCAGTTCTGAGGATCCAGAGAGCTGCTGCTGGACACTGGGCAGGTCTCAGCCGCTGAGCAGAGTCCTGAAAACATCTGAGGAAAGCTGCAGTTCCTCCTACTGCAGGTTCTAACACTTGATGGTGTATTGTAGTTTTTGTAGGTATGACTACTACATCTGGTTGTATTGGATGATACACAATGCTCAATCAATAAGCTTTGGAACTGTTACAGGATCACACTGTGCACAGGCTCCCCCTCTTACGTGTGCACGTTTGGACTTTGATGTCATTTGAATGTCCCCCTAATAGGAGTAAAACATCTATTCCACTGCATGCAGACATTATCAATGCTGTAGATGCCAGTAAAATGCAGCTTTCTATAATATGAAGGTAAATGGACATTAGGTTCAAATTCTTACAGTAAAACTTAGAGAGTTTAGATTGTAAGTCAAACTTGTGTCTTATTAGTAACGCAGAACAGTTCCGCTTCTAGCTGTACAAGCCTCCCCTAAAGCAATCCACAGTGTCAATAGGTTGAGAAGGAGGATGCACATCAGCTGGTGTCCAGCTCAGACTGCCCTGCAGAAAGAATATAAAGTCCCAGTTCAACAGTCAGAAGGAAATGACCAGCCTCACAATACATTGTTAGAAAAACAAAACTTTAATAATAAAACCACGAAAAGTAGCAGAGCCCTTTCCTCACAAACTGCCCCTGTTTCCCTTTGTGTGACTTCCCTTTGACAGGCTGAGGGTTGACATGGTTCACTACGTAAAGATAACGCATCAGTGCAAGTTGGATGACCTCAAATGAATTAGTCCTGAATTGTGGTACTTTAGGACCTCCCTGCCTTTGTTTGTGGTTATGTAAATCTAAAAGTCAGAATCGAGGAGAGCGTTCCCGTGTGAGCTGTGCTTCCAGAGCCGTGCGTGACACGGTTGGAACTGCCGGAGCGAGCGTATGCCCGCTCCTCAGAGAGCCGGACACCGCTTTAGCCGCAGCTCAGCCCATGACCCCACAGTCCAGAACAGCAGAAGGAAACCCAGCAAGCTTCTCTGGTCACACGCCACCTCATCAGAGCTCCTCGTGTCTCCTCGTTAAATCTTCCCCGTAATTGGTGGCCTGACTGCCCACAAACATGTTCCAGTTGGCCAGAATCTCCTTCTTGGTGATTTTCCCGTCCTGATGTTTGATGAGCAGATTAGACCCCAGATTGGTTCATTGAATTCAGAAAATCAGGAGAATGGAGAAGAGAAGATCAGCAAAAGAAATCGAGACAGAGAGGAGACAGATGATTAGAATTACCTCAGAATTAATCCTGTGGGGTCATGCACAGAGGCATCTGCCTTTGGGCAGCCAGGGAGCCTGACCCTGCCCAGCTCCCACACCCACTGCCGTGGCCTAAAGGTTCCTTTTTGATAAGGAAACGGCTGCAGCCTGCAGGCTGTGGGGGCTCAGTGGGCCTGGCAGCCTGGGCCTGTAGGTGCAGGGCCTGGGCCTGTAGGTGCAGGGCCTGGGCCTGTAGGTGCAGGGCCTGGGCCTGTAGGTGCAGGGCCTGGGCCTATAGGTGCAGGGCCTGGGCCTGTAGGTGCAGGGCCTGGGCCTGTAGGGGCAGGGCCTGGGCCTGCGGCTGGGACCGGGTGCCAGTACCTTATCGCTGTCCGTCTCGTGGATCAGGTGTTTGGCCTCGTTGTCGGCATGGTCGACCTCTCCCGGTAGAATCCAGTGGGCCACTTCACCAGCGTCCAGGGTGCCGTCCTGCACAAACCAGAGCAACCAGCCATGAGTGGGAGCGGATCCCGCTGATGTGGGCGGGGCCTCCCGGCGGAGCCAGCTCTGGAGCACGACTCGGGACTATCTCATGTGTTTGTCAGCTTTTGACAAGAAAACAAGGCTGCTTGCATTTGAGCCGACTCAGCATCCCTGCAGGTGGTGGGCAGACACATCTCACACTGCTCTTACCTTGTTGGTGTCTCTGAACTCTAAGAAATGCTTCCTCTCGGTTTGGACCCAGTCCGGCTCGCTCTCCCCCTCCTCCGGTGTGAACATGTCCCCTGTGGGCAGGACATCAGCCGGTCAGTCCTCACAGGCCCGGCGGCCGGCTACAGAGGGGCAGGAACCTACCGATGTATTCATCCACATTGATCTTCCCATCGCCGTCCTTATCGATGTCTTCCACAGTTTCCTGATGAGAGAAGGTTCAGTTCCAGGATCGCCCCCCCCTGCCCCCCCCCCCCAGCTACCTGCACCACCACATCCGTCATGTGGTCGAACTCCTCGGGGTGCAGGAAGGCGGTGAACTCCTGGCGCGTGGCCAGCCCGTCTCCGTCGCGGTCAGCGGCCCTGAAGCGCCTCTGGTCCCGCCGCAGCATGGACCTGTAGGTGGCCTTGTCCTCCACGTCCTCGAACTCCTCGGCTGCAGGCAGAGCGCCGTCAGAGCCGGGGGGTGCTGCTGGGGGGGGGGGACAGAGTCCGGCCGGGGGCTTACCCAGGTAGTAGCCGTAGGTGGTGTTCTTGTACTCGTCCCAGGCGATCTGCTGGTCCCGGTTCTTGTCGTAGTCCTTCCAGTGCTTGTCCACGTTCTCCTGGATGTAGCTCCTCTGCCGGTGTTTGATCCAGTGGTGCAGCTCGGCGTGGCTCACGAAGCCGTCCTTATCCGTGTCGATGCGCTCCACGATCTTACTGGAGGGGGGGGGGGCAAAAGAGCTGTGAGTGGCTGATCGTGTCCCGTGCCCCCCCCTCCAGACTGACAGGGCAGCTCCCTGTGTGTGTG